TTTCTCTGATTTTTTTTTTTTTTTAGGGGTTTTCCATGTAAATTAACATATCATCTGCAAGTAAAGACAGTTTTACTTCTTGCCCTATTTGGATTCCTTTTATGTCTTTTTCCTGTCTTACTGCTCTGGCTAGAACTTCCAGATTTATGTTGAAGAGCAGTGGCAATAGTGGGCACCTTTATCTTGTTCTGATCTCAAAGGAAAGACCTTCAGCTTTTCTCCATTGAGGATAATATTGGCTGTGGGTTTCACAAGACAATGTTGACTTTGTATGTTGACTTTGTATCTTGCAATTTTACTGATTTATTCTTACAGCTTTTTTGGTAAAGTCTTTAAGGGGTTTCTATGCATAATATAGGAAAGGAGAAGGTACGGATTTTACCTTTCATTGTTAATGTAATATCTCACATTGAATATGGATATTGTATCATTCTTGCATCTCTGAAATGAGTCCTACTTGAGCAAGGTTTTTGACTTTTTTCATGTATCACTGAATTCAATTTGTTCATATTTTGTTGAGAATTTTTACATCTGTATTTGTAAGGGATATTATCTTGCTTTTTTTTTTTTCTTGTGTCCTGTGTGGTTTTGACATCAAGGTAATACTGGTCTCATCAGATGCATCTGAAACTATTCTTATCACTTGTAATGTTTTGAAGAATTTGAGAGAATACTCTTAATTCTGTTTTAAATATTTGATTGAATTCACCAGTGTAGCTGTCTGATACCAGACTTTTGTTTGATTATTTAATCTCTCTACTAGTAGTTTGTTCCAAGTCTCTATTTCATGATTCAGCCTTTGTAGGTTTTATGTTTCTAGGACTTTATCAACTTCTAGATAATCCAGCTTGTTGGTATATAATCATGGTTATCAGTTACAATAGCTCCCCTTTCATTTCTGATTTTATTTACGAATTCCTGATGAGTTTACTAAAAGGCTTGTCAAAGAATCAGTTCATCTTTTCTGTTGTCTTTAGCCTTTTTCATCTATTTCTGTGCTGATGATTGTTATTTTCTTCATTCTAACTCTGGGCTTCTATTTTTGTTTCCGAGGGAAAAATTAGGTTGAGATTATTTTTGTTTTCTTAACATGTCACAGGACATTTCTTAGTATAATGTCCGTTAGAGCCACTTACGTTGCATTCCCTATGTTTTGTTTGTTGCATCTTCATTTGTCTGAAGGTACTTAAATTTTTTTTTTCTTTTTTGGTCCATTTGTTGTTCAGTAGCATGTTATTTAATCTCTACATATTTGGTACTTGTAGTTTACTTCTGCAAAATGTAGAGTTGTGGCCAGACATATAATATATCCTGCAGAATGTCCAATATGTACTTTGGAAGAATTTATATTCTATTGATTTTGGATGGAATGTTTGTTTGTATCTATTAAGCCCATCTGGTAAAATATGTAATTAAAGGTCACTATTTCCTTACTGATTTTCTATCTGAATGATCTATCCATTGATGAAAGTGGGTTATTAAAGCCCCCTGATATTATTTATTACTATCTACTTTTCTCCTTAAAGTCTATTATTATTTGCTATGTGTGTGTGCATGTCATTATTAGGTGTGTAATATTTATTAAAGACATATACCCTTTCTGGATTTTTTTGTTTAAATGATATTTTGTTTTATATTTGTCTGATACAGGTAGTTACTCAGCTTTTGTTTGGTTATTTGCATGACTATCTTTCCATCTTTTCACTCAGTCTGTATCTTTACATCTCTTTTGAATCTTTTGCACATATATGTGGGTCTCTCTTAAGACATTGAAACACTGATATATACTTAACATTAGTTTCAAATATACATGATTTGATATTTGCATCTCTTGTGAACTGGTCAGTATTTAGTCTAGCTAACATCCACCACCAGCACACGTAGATAGGTCTTGTTTATTTTTTTTAGTCCATTCAGTTACTGTGTCTTGTGGATACTCATTTATAGTAAGAGGTATGTCCTATTGCCATTTTATTGCTTTCTAGCGGTTTTGCACCACTTTGTCTTCCTCTGATTTATAGTGGTATGCTTACATTCCTGTTTTTCTCTTGTGAAACCATTCTGCATAGTTTTTCTAGAAGTTTTGATTTTGAATGGTTGTGCTAGAAGTGGGGTTGATGGTGAAACTATGTTTCAGCCTTTCCAACACATTTGAGTGTGGTTTTTTTCTGGTTCATTCATGTGTTTGATCACTCTGCTGATTTGGGTTTCGGAGGATATTGTTCTGTATATAAATAGATTTGGTATCAGTGGGATTTCAGAATCCTTTAACCATTTTGAAACAGAAGTCTATTTATTGTGTTAAGAGACGAATGGGTAATAGTGCAGTCTCTAGGATTCAGTTGTCAGGGTTACTGCCCTGTCTGCCACTTCCTGGCTGGGAAACCTTGGGCCTTTGACAAGTAGGGTTTAAGAGTAGTGAATGGGTAATATTACTGGAGGACAAATGTGTTCAATACCTTATGTGCAGAGCAGTGGCACATGATAGAAGTGTCAGCACCATAATTCCAGCTGTCTCCTCCCCGCTGGGGTATCAACTTCAGAAAGGCAGACCATTTCCCCCCAGTGCCAGAATGCAGTGTGTGGCTCAGTGTTTCTGATTCACTGTTCTCAACCCTGTGCCACTCAGCTGACCCCCCCCCCATCTGACTTTGGCTTTTTGTCTTAGCCCCTCTCACAGCTTTCCAGCTTGTCCATAACTCATTTTTGTGTCTTTGTAATCTTTCTGGGCACTAGCTGTGTGGCTGCTCTGAAGCTGGAGAGTAGCAACAGACTTATCTGAAAATTAACTTTACAAATTAGTAGCAACATGATTGAATAATCGCCTAAGCTTTAGTAGGAACATTAGGTAACATGACTAATTACAAAGTTTTATAATTTTCTAGGTGTGCATTCATTAAAATTTGTAAGCATGATAGTTGTACTAAGCAAGCAAATGCTGTGGTATTCTAAAAGGCTTCACAATGAGGTAGTTAAACCGTTTGTTTAACACATGCAGGGATCTTGTCCCCCACCAAAAGAAACACTATAGACCAACAATGTGAAATAGAACAGAGGGGCAGAGCACAAGACACCCCAGGAAGTGGTATATTGTGAGGAATACTCAGATTCGGGAAGGAGACTAAACTCAAGCCTTCTAATGTTGGAGATTTAGAAAGCTGCCTTCAGTTTGTGGGTTAGTTATAAGGCTCAAAGGTATATATGAAAGTAGGCTTGGGAAAGAGAACTCACAATTGGAAGCCACTTACACTCAAGGCACTTGTAAATGTATTAATGGCTCCCCTAATTACTAAATGAAGAGTTGGGATTTAAACCAGGCCTGATTGTGCCTGAAGTTGAGACTTTGCACCCTACAGTTCCACTTCTAGTTGTTAGGCGTATTTTCCTGTGAGGTCTTCTGCTTGAGTTCTACTTGAACGTGGTCTAAACTTGGTGGCTACAGTGATCCAGCTAGTCTAGAAAAAGGCTGCCTGTGGTTTATCTGTGCAAATGTATTTCCCTCCTGCCGCGCTGATGAGCAGTTACATGGCCTTTAGTTTTAACATCTCTCTGGATAGATGGTAACGAGGTCAGTGTCTGTACTGCTAGCTGGTGGCACATTTTTCCTTCAGTTTCTGAGTCTCAGGCTCAAGGACAGCTGCACTGTACTGTGCTTACTTAAATAAACACTAACAGAAAATAATTGTAGAAGAGGAAAGCCAAGTCATGCCTTTCTGCTGCACTGGGTGCGTTGTTATGCTGACAGAAAACAGTGTGTCTAATGTTGGGTCACAATTTGAGGTTGTGTTAACAAAAAGCACCAGTGGGTATGATTTGGAAAACAGGACTTGCTTTGAAAGGCACAAGCTGTTGGAATAATGAAACAATTTTTAAAGATGCTTTCTATAAAATATTTTCATAAGATCTGATGAAGCAAGACAAAGACAAAAGTGTTTAGTTGAAATCAGCATTTGCCAAACTGGTGCCCAAAGGAACTGTATTTCACGAGATGTTAAAACAAATGCCTTCACATTTTTTTATTGAAGAAAAGCATTTTATGATAACTTTTTCTTTCTTTTTAAAGCATGGCTTTCTATTTCCGGATAGTGGTCTATGGGGGGAAAAACAGTTTGGAAAATGCTGAAATTTCTGATTGTTAGATAAGTCTGGAAGTAAAAAAAATGGAGCCAAGTGGGTGAATTAGCTGATGTTTGATTTTTACAAGGAGGCATCAAAAGCAGAGGTCAGGCTCACCTGCCTGGGGTTCATAGGTATGACAGTGAGCTCTTATAGTTTCATCACCACAAACATAGGTGCTGTCTGGAGAGGGTGCATCGGGTTTCTTTCCAAAGCTGACATTCTCTGCTTAGGAACCAAATTGTGTGACAGGTGAGCTGTCCCATAACAAAGGAACCAGAAATGAAGCCTCCCATTCTTAAATAACATTTATTATTGTTGCAAAGAAGTCTTTATCATGAGAACAGGTCTCGGATTTACTTAAAGATATATTGACTGATTATAGATGCAAATTTCACCAAAGTGCTATATATGAAGTATGCCCGACTACGACTCTTATTCAGCAATCTAATGTTCACAATGTGTTGGCTGCCATTTAGCTATTTACCCAAACATGCCTGTTTCATATGCCTGCATAAGATGGGAAAGGAAACACCAAGGGCTTACTAAAAAGGAGAAGCCTAAAAAAGATAAAATTCCTGCGGCAGTTCTGTTCAACTGCAGTCTGTGAGGGCAGGAACAGTGTTCATGTGGGGAAGCGTTATGCCCAGTGGTTTCTCGGTTTTCATGGTGTGAAAGCCCTTGACGTTTTCTGCGGCTGTCAGGAGAGAGTGGGAAATTCCATCTATGGGATCCAGTCAATGTTCAGGCACCTCGCTATGAATGCAAACATATCTGAAACTTCTTCTATCACTTTGGCTGTGGGCTTTCCAGCCCCGTGGCCCGCCTTGGTGTCCACATGGATGAGTAAGGGATTGCTCTGCTTCCGGCTGCGACCCACAATGTACTGAAGGGTGGCAATGAACTTCAGGGAATGAAGTGGGACTACGCGGTCATCGTGGTCAGCGGTGAGGAGCAGCATGGATGGGTACTGGATGTCATCTGCTTCTGGCAACTTGACATTATGTAATGGTGAGTACCTGAAAGGCAAACATGCTTTTGTAACACCAGCCAGCAAAGCTGAGTCGTTTACTCACTGGGAGGATCAAGGAGGCCTGAGGGACACAGTAACCACGCTGTTTACCAGCTGAGGTCACACAGTTACTTAAGACTCCAGTGACCACAACTACATTGCCAGATTGGTGATGAACAGTCAGGTCTACTGGCAGCTGTGTCATTTACTTGACACCTATTAGGAAGAGTGTGTAAGAAGGAAACCCAGATTGCAGTGACCCCAACCACACACGTACTTACTCTCCATGTTCTTTTAGTCATTTTTTTTTTTTCACTGCTACCCAGTGAAGAGGCTGTCTTTTAAAAACTGGGGTTGTGGATACATTAGGTGTAAGCTTGCAGCGGCTGAAAGGGACATAGTGTCCCTTTGATAGCCATAAAACCATTTTTTCCCCCTTCAGGCTCAGCATTATACTCTTAGAAGCAACAGATGTCCTCTCTGGGCCTAGTCTCCTGCTGGGAACCTGGCAGGGGCCGCTGACCTCTTGCAGAAAGAAATGCCGATGGAGTTTGAGTCAGCGGAAGCATCTTCTGAGGTACAGGCTAAGTTCCCAGAAAAGGTTTTAGGAACTAAAGTATTAAATTATAGTTGAAGTAACTGGGTATTTTCCCTTTATCACCTTATCCAATATAAGGTGTCAGTTTTTTCAGAGTGTCCAGTATTAATGAATATGATTGCTAACAATTTAAAGCCAACACATTCTGGAGCCTGGTCTCCAGTCACTGGAGTCCTAAGTAAGAAGATGGGGGTAGCCACGGATTTGTTTTCAGAGTATTTTTGGAAGGACTCTAGCCTAGAGAGAAGGGTTAATAGTAAACAAGCTTATGTTAGGCTTTGTCTTAGCACTTCTCAAAACTAGAAATCCTGCTCTTCGGGGGGAAACACAGATTTGAGAAACAACATGTAAGGCCTGGACAAGCCTTATTTAGGAGCTGCAGGTAGGAGGAAAAATACAGCTCTGAGTGCAAGGTTTGAAAATTAAAGTTTGAAGTAGACATTTTGGGGGAAAAAATTAGAACTTTTCTTTGAAATTAGAGTTTACCCCAAGGCATTTTTTCTTCTGTTAACAGCATTAGCTTTCAAAATAAATAATGAAATAACTATTTAGTTCTCCACAACTAAATAGTGTTTCAAAAGTATTCAATTAAAATGCACAGTATTTTAGCTGAACTTTCACTGAGTTTTTAAGGGAGAGCTAGAAATGAGAGTTGACTGAAGTCTGGGATAGGAGGAACAGCTTTCTTGTGGTTTCCCAAGAAGTCAGCTCTAAAAACTGTGCATAGAATCCAGAAATTCCTAGTGAGTGAAGTGAACAACCAAAAATGAAGAATGAAACTTGAAGTCTTGAGAATGTATTTTCCATGTCTCAGGTATTACCAAAGGTGGTGTTGAGAATTTAAAGGGAAGTTGCACAATACTGCAATAATGTTTCAGATATATTTGCTATACTAAGGGTACAACACAAGTTTCATTTTCAGTTAAGCCCTAGTCCATATTAGTTTTTGATTGATGCATTAAGAAATATATCACAAAGCCAGCAACTTAATACAGAAACTTCTAACCCCAGTAGTCACCAGTCTGGGTTGGCTCAGCTGGCTGGGCTTTTAAGAAATTTTGGGAAGTTTCATATTTGTAGGACTGAGGTCCCCAATTCTTTTGCTGGAGTTTTTTCTTAAGGCCCTCTTCCTCATTCAGAGAAGCAACAATGGGCCAAGTTCTTTGAATGTTCCAGTCTGTCTGCTATGTCCCAGACTCCAGCTTGATGACTGGATACACTGGGAGAGTCCAGGTGATGTCCTTATTTTGAGGATTAATAACTTTTTGGTGGCCTATTTGTCATTAAAGAAGAGATCAAAACAGACAGCTATTTCCATATCTTCTCCTGTCTTTGCAGCACATTTGAGTTGACCCTTGAGTTGGGGGGAAGCCTGACCTATAATAGTTGATTACAAAGTAGGTATTATTATCAACATTTTCTAGCCTCTAACATAAATTGTGAGCTTTTGCAGATCAAATCCACATTGTTCAAGGGTCAACTATATATGCAAATGCGAAACTGATAGAAACAGTCGCTTACCTTTTGACTGTATTTGTATTTCAAATCATTAACATGTACATCAACATGAGTCAAAAACTTACTTAATAAGCCATTCAAAGTGCTGTTTGCTGTCTGAGCACCCATAGTCAGTGGTCCAGGCATGACCGATAGTGTATTTATGGAACTTCAGCATGTCCATTACTCCAACTTGGGCAATAACACAACCAAAGAGGTCAGGACGCTGATTTGCACAAGCAGCTAAGAAACCAAGAAAGGAAAAGGATCAGTCCTTCATTAAATGTCAGTACAATACTTGAGAACTTAAGTTTTTCCCCATCATTCCAACATATCTGAACGGTAGGGTAGTCTCATCAGTAATGTAGATTTACTCTCCAAAGGAGTAGGGATGGGGGGTGTTACTTAAAGAGCTCAGGGACTTTCTGGAAAACGTGCATTTGCCACTCCCAGTCTCAAAAGGGGGTTAAGGTGACGTGACAGAGATATCCTGAATAATACCTTAAATATTTTGGATTTTGTCTCTGGTTCTTGTACAGATCTCCCGAAGCTCTTGGAGTTTCCTGAACAGTATCTTTCCTAACCATCCTCTTTCAGTCATATCTCAGGGCATGCTACTAATGTGTTTCTCAGTGGGCCTTTAGAGAGCTTGAGTTGGGGGTGGTTGCCAGAGGAAATCACCATATGATTACAGCGGTTAGAATTTCAGCCCATCCCTAACTTCTGGGGAGAGAGGCTAGAAAGGGAATCATTAGTATTTAACCTGATGTTGCATACTGTAACCTCCATTAAACCCCCTAAACAGTGGGGTTTCGAACTCTCCAGTGGTGCACACAGCAAGGCACTGTGCCCAGGATGGCAGGCCTCTGCAAGTACCCTCTGATCCTGTATCTCCCAGCAAGTGTAGAAAGTTCCTGAGTCTTCTAACACATTTCACGCCTAAGTGGGGGTCCTAGAAGCCTCCAGTTTGTATGTGCAGGAAGCAGGACAGCCACATGATGCAGAGTGGTGCCATCACACAAACTCGGGTAATGGAAGGAGTGAACTGAACATTCAGCTGGTGTTTGGATGATGTGGGTAAAAAACCCTATACCTTTGGTGTCAGAAGGGTTTCATACAGCCAAATATACAACAGGACCTAGTTCAGCAATTTAACCAATATAGCAACACTATTTTCCTGTTTTGAAATTCTCTTCTTTGCATACTTAATTTTTTTTTTTTCTTTGGAAACTGAACTTGTGCCTGGCTCCAGGCCTAGGGATGTGCCAATGAATATTTTAATGGAAAGAGAAAGAACTAAACAAGCAGTTAAAATACAGTGTGGTGATGTCAGTAAGTAGGTCAGACACCTGCCCTGGTGAAGACTGTTTTGGGGGCTGGGGGAGACAAGGGATGTGGGCTTTTCCGCTTCTGGCAAAAAACAGTTCCAACCCCCATTCTTACTTACTTACTCCTAATGCTGAACCCTGTGCCCTACCTGAGGAGATCCAATTCTTCCATAAATGGGAGAGCAGGCCTCTGTACTAAGACATATTAGCAGATTCCTTCAGGGACCAAGTTTGTCAGGAGGCATTTGAATTGGAAGCTCTGAATATGTAATGGAGTTATCAAATGAATCAGTAAATCAATATAATTCTTATGTTTTCAAATGTCTGTTCCTATTAAAGCCTGAACTTGTTCTTCCATTTCATATTCAGTTGGCTCAAATTCAAAACAGAGTCCACGATGGCCTGGGTGTCTATGATTTTATCATCTGCCACCTCTGACTAGAACAGCTCCGTGAAGGCAAAGGTGCTATCTGTTTTATTCTTTAGTATAAGCTCAGCACTTGGAAAAGTGCGGGAATGGATCAAATTTGGTGTTTATTATTTGGCATTTAAGCATTTTATCAACCTCAGAACCCTGTCTAAGTTTAAACAAATTTATTTATCTCCATTGGAAACATCATCCCACATTTTGTCACTTCAGATACCCTTTACTTTCTTTGCACCACTGCTTCTTTCTACCGGAGAGTGGTAACTAGTGAGTACAATAAATAAAATCCAGTGCTTACCCACTAAAAGGCCTCCATTTGAACCTCCGTTAATAGTCAACCTCTTGGGAGACGTGTAACCTTCCTTGATAAGATACTCAGCAGCACGCTGAAAATCATCAAAGCAATTTTGTTTGTTGGCCAAGATTCCACCTACAAGGTGCCAAGGTGAAAGGTAAGTTAGTAACACAAAACACTAAAAATGTAAGTTTAACCTAGCCAACATTACAAGGAAAAAAGCCTCAATTTAAATTTCATTACATATTGTGGAAATCCATCATCAATACCACCAATCTACAGGGTGTGTATTTTTCTAAAAAGTCCGAGAATTTAAAAGGCATATGACCCCAAAGAGTTGATCTGTTCTATAACAGGAGCACCTGTAATCAGAATATTCTGGAGAAGCTGAACTGAAGAAAGACCTGGAACAGTGTTCACTTCCAAGCTTCACACAGCAACAGGGCTGCTTGTGCATTCTCTCCTAATGCTGTGCAGTGTAGTCCTCATTCCTCCTCTTTGTAGGAGTTTGAAATGGGTAAGTGAAGGAAGTGACAGGAAGTAGTCTCTAATTTTGTCCTAAGTTATTTACGAATGTGAGTAGGAATTAGATGGGGAGGTGGTGGTGCTGCCTGGGAGAAGCCTGTTAAGGTTTCTTAATCTTGAATGAAGAGCATGTCTCTGGAGACTCATCTGGAAGCCCTTCCATGTATAAAATCAAAGAAAACAGAGTGGAACCCTGCAGGTTCAAAGAATGCAGGAAAAAAAGCCAAAAGTCACAGGCATGTCACCAAAGGTATTGATATCTGAGCTAACTGCCTATGAAGTAAGCTAAAAGCAGAGATGATTTGACTAATTGAATTTCTGCAAAAGTGGCTCATCTAAAGAAGCAGTGTGACTTAAGGAATTTTTTCTTATTATTATGAAATTACCAGTTTATCAGAGCAACAAGGATTGCTTAGCTTCCAGGAATAATATCATTTTGGGCACATGACTATATTTTTAAAAGAAGATTACATTTTCAACTCAATTAACAAATAGGAATTTAGATTTATCAGTGTCATACATGCTAGACTCAAGGTCCATCTCTGGCACTTTAACTGCCTGAATTTGGAGAAAGTTTGGTCTTTGGGCAACTGATACTAAATGGTCTTTGGGCAACTGATACTAAATGATAGCTGGGAAAAGGAGGGTCACCTAGGACCAGGAACTCTTTCCTGTCAGCAGAGTGAACCACTGGTGACTGAGCAGGTTTTGAGGATAGGATCACAGGATCAAGAGTCCAGGAGGAGTGAGTGTAGACAGCAAACCACTAGAAAATTGGGTGAGTCAAGGGGTTTAGACTCAGCATATAAATCCCTTGTATGGAGATTTTTAAAATTTAGCCTCTTAAGTCACCTTTTACCATCAATATCCCATATGGTATCGCAATTTGATTTTAATGTAATAAACCAATGAATCCTATGCTACTTCAATGACAATGACATCTGGCAGCAGTTCCTAATTACTTAGGAATACTCACTCTTGCAAAAATGCTGGGAGAAATGCTCATGCCCAGGGGTCAGGCCCTTCCTGTATACTGACATAAGGAGGATTTATGGTAATTTCTTTACAGATCTAACCTCTTTTGGGCAGCTGGCTGACTTCAAGATTGCTTTGTGCTACAACCTTCCCTTACAAGATGATGCAAGAAGGTGCAACTTACAGCTGGGGGAGTGGGGCCTGTTTCTACTACACTCTCCTCCCCAGAAATAAGGCAAGTGATGGCACCTTCGTCTGACTATTGGTTAACCTGTAAATTCCAGATACATAAAAGCCTGGGGAGAAGGGATAAGCTACATATATAAAGAAAAAGGAGAGGTGGAGTCCAGATTGTTCTTTAAAATTGTGACAATCTTGGGAATGAAGCTGAGTATAAACAATATCCTCAATCAGCTAGAGGCCAGCAAATGGAAATAGAATCATTGAAAACCAGACAAGAAATTGACCACATTCTTGTGTGTAAAGCCTGCATATGGGGAATTAAGTAAGGCAGCAAGGTCAGGAGGAAGCTACTTAACAGTGTTGGGAAAAGGAGAGATACCAAACAAAAGGATGCCGGGCAAAGCTGCTTCTGAGGCCACTCTTAAGACAAACGACTTGCTTCCAAGTGCATTTCCAAATAGCCAAGCAGTTAGAACAGGAGAAACCAGGTTAATGACAGTCCCTCCAAGACTCATTCATGACAGAGGGCATTTGGTCAAGTGAAAAATAAGAATCTCTTCAGTTTCTGACCCTCTCAGCCCTAACACAGCCCTGACTGCCATATTTGTGTTTCTGCAGTGAGGAAGGACTCACCTTTGTGCCATGTCTCCCCGTATTCGCCACCGCCTCTGATGTTGGCCACCGCGAGCACCCCTCCCAGGTGTCTCACAAATATAAGTCTGGAGACGCTGAGGAACAGTAAACATGATCAACGATCAACCTTCCTTTCACGGCTCAGTAAGTACCACATTCTCTCCCTCCCTCCATCTCAAACAACAAGGTGCTCTGGACAAGACTCCAAGTATATCACTAAGTAAAAGTTCAACTTTATGTTACTTGGTTAAAGTAAAAAAAACATAACTTCTCATTAATATTTAATGGAAAAGCTCATACATTTTCATAAGCATTCAGTATATATTGGTGAATATTTCTCTGTACAAAGCAGACTCTCATTTCACACTGAAGTCATCTTTTAAATAACTGTCTTGAAAACAAAATATTGCCAGTTCCAGGATACTGGGCTCAGAGAGACAGATAACAATGACCCCTGCTAATGTCTCTCAAGTACTGCAGTTGAGGAAAAGGCTTTTTCTGGAACATGCATTTTAACCAGGTTTTCCAGTTTTATAGAAAATCAAAAATGTGAAGCCAGACTACATAGGGTGTGAGAGGGAAGGAAATAGATCAAGGACACACACCAGGAAGAAAGAATGGGATGCTCTGGGTTGGGCAATGTTCTCCAGGAGTAACTACAGCACAAGCTGATGGGAAAATATAAAGTCCTTTAGGAAATCTGGATTTTATGTTTTTCTCTTCCTCTTTTTACTCTACACCCCATTCCAAACTTTTAGGGTAGAGTGCAAGCCAGTGATTTGTCCATGGCGGGAAGCACAGATGCCCAGGGCATCAGCAAGAAAAGCTGGAATTTTATCTCTTCGACTGATTAGCAGGGCAAACAGTCACATTTGCTGTAGGATTAGGTGTATTTAATGAACTCAAAGAGTAAGTAGACCCCGTGCTTTCTGCCACACTGACTTCACAGGCGTGCACAGGAGACAGCCTGGCACTGCCATAGCACAGTGAGGGGACAGCACCCCATTTCACTCTGCCAACTAGCTTTAATGTACTCACATCATGAAGCCTACAGAGCTTCTGAAAACACTGTTCTACATAGTGATTTTACAAGCTCACAGTTTCTGATGTGAATAACAAAAGATATAATCACTCTTTATTTCCGGCAAGTTCCCAACTTGGCTATAAAACCACTCAGGAACTGTGTTTCATACTTCATTAAATCCTAAATAATCAACAGAGCTCTGTGCTAATAGCAAAAGCTCAAGCCTACAGTCTTCTTGTATTTAAATTTGGGACAGCTGGCTCTTTCTCTTCCCTATAGGAAAGATCCTGGATGAATCTGAGTCAGGCCTTACAGCAGGCTCCAGTTAGGGGTTCCCCCATCAGCCAACACCATTTTCATTAAATGTGTTCAAAACAATTTGTTTTATACTATGATATCAAATGTATGAATACACATTTCTGATTATCAGTAATGTGGCAATTACAGAAACCGTTCAGAACAGTTTAAAGTGCACGAAGTAAGTGTATAAAGAAAATATAATGATGGCTAAAAGTTAAGATAGCCTAAGATTCTGATGCAGCAAAATAAAATCACTAGCTAAAATATTCCTGCTGGAGAACCTTGTGTGTCCTGGCAGATGCAACCTCAACATATTTCTCTGAAAACAAAAAACAGCTTATGACGAAATGTCTGACCAGAAATGCACACAGTTAACTCCAGTTTCTTGCCACCAGCTCTATCTGAGGTTGCAGGAGTGTTCACCACTTACCTGTAGTTGGGGGTGATAGATATATTGAAGCCACCATAGCCATATAAGAAAGCAGGGTGAGAGCCGTCCAATTTTAAACCCTTTTTATGCACAATGAACATTGGGATTTTTGTACCATCTTTGCTAGGGTAAAAAATCTAGAACAAAAGAGGGGGTAATTAGCATTACTCAGTGAACACTTGCATGCTTTTAAATAGGAAAAATAGGTAAACATGTAGAGCAGCAGGGGGAAAATCTAGTACCACTAAAGTATTTGATAGTGAAGCAGCTTCCAGTTTTTATCCAGAGCCTGGAGTAGTAAAAAGTGACTGGGCCTGAACACAGGGAGGCTGGACTTGGAATTTATTTTTCTACAGCAACCTCCTCAGGTTACCTTGGACAAGCTGCTTATCCTCTCTCCCTTCCGTTTATCACCCCAAAATGAGGCCACCAAACCCACCTCTTATATCATCACAAGATGCACACAGAGAACAGATGTTCCATTGCTTATACTTTCACTGGAAAGTATAAGATTTGGCATCTTGTCAAACAATTCAATTTAGAGATATTTCTTTTCTAGAAAACAAATTAAAACTTCCTCTCTAAATGTTAAGACACTTGGCTGTCTTCTTCATGTTCAACTATTTGATAAATGTTAGTAATTATCTCAGGGTAGATGAGGAGTGACAGACAAATCCTATTATCCCTCATTAAACAGACATTTTCTCCAGAAGTGATAATCAGGGCTCATTAAACCTTCCTGAATATGGGTGCCTATACGCAAGTTTACTGAAAATTTCTATACTCATTACTTTTGGGGTAAAAGGTAGGAGGAAAAGGGTAACAAAGAAATATTAAGCACTATTGCAGTGATAGGCACAAAGTCTAATGATGGCTTCCTCAGGCCAAAAACCCGTCAATAGCTTTCTCTTTGGGCAAATGTAGTCTTTACCTTGCTGACACCCCTGGGAAACTCCTCATTCACCTTACATTTTAGAGTGACACAATGATGTGGAGCCAGATTCCAGCTAAAACTTTTAAAGGCAGCAGTTCTACTACCGGAAGTTGCTACGAGGCCCTAGGAAATAAACAGCAGGGTCAGGGAGGATGGGGGCGAGGCCTGCAGTGCAGATCTGAGAAAGGCACTCCAGGGCCACAAGAAATGCCTGCAAATCTGGTAGTTTTTTGCAACTTGCCAAGAGAAATAGTAATGAGAGATACATAAATTTGGTGGTTTTGAATCTGCATGCTGTTCCTAAACCATCAGAGAATACTGATTTAGTTAGTCATTTAGTGCCAGTGGGCAGCCACTGGGAGGCTGTGACTGTAAATGCAGAGTACACGGCGCACATGTCAAACCATCAGCTAAAACATAGGGCTTCCCGCTCACTCCAGAGAACCATACCATGGAGCACTGCTGCACGTGATTCTACCATAACCAAACAGCTGTTAAAAAAAAGAGTTCCTGGCCCTCCCTGGTGGCGCAGTGGGTTAAAGCACTGTACTAAGAATCAAAAGCTACTTCCGCATGAGTTCGATCCCCGCCTGCCCCAGAGGAGACCACATGGCGTGGCAGACCTCTCCTGACCCGCCCGCTGCTCCCCTCAGCAGTGTACTTCGTCTATCTGCCTGTTCTGCTCCCCACTCTGTCTCTGGTGAAGCCTCTCACCCTCCGCATCTCTGGCCTGTACCCCAGTTCTGTATGAATAAATAAATAAATCTTTAAAAAAAAAAAAGAGTTCCTGCCCTCCAGCTAGGCCCCCCCAATTTCCCACCTTCCTCAATTCCTGGCCTGGCTTCTAATCCCCCTGGTTTTAACAAACTCTACAAGACAGACTTCCTCTGCACCTCCACAGGGTCATGGGCGCCTCTAGTCTCCACTGCTTCATATCGCCGTTAACAATCTGGCTTCCTTCTCTGGTACCACTTTTCTTGCTACCACTAGTAGAACTGCCACAGATTGGGGGGTGGGGGAGAGGCCCCAGACCTGCTGATCTGCATTTCCCCTAACTATTCTGATGCAGGTGGAATCAAGCCTCAAAATCGAGTTACACCATTGGCTTCTGTCACTTTGCCTCTGTCCTCGTCCATTCTATCCCCTGAAACCAGGTATTTCCCCTTGACCCCTGACCGTTCAATACAGACTCAATCCCTTTGTCGTTTGCCTGGGATTTTCTTCAGTGAACTTAACAATGTAAGTGATGACCAGCAGAGCCCGGCCTTGAAGCAGCTTGACCACCTCAATGTCAAGACTTTACTTAAACTCCACCCTACCCACTCGTCCTCTGGCACCTGCTGTGTGTCCGGGCCTGTGCTGAACACTGAAGGTGTGAAGATAAGCAAGACCTGGTCTCTGGGACAAACCAACAGGCACTACCAACAGCCACCCCTTGTCAATGCCTGGGCCCTTGGAACTTGAAACTCTCCTGGAGGAACTCTTTATAGTCCTGCCTGTGACTCTAATTTGCTTTGCTTTCTTTTTTTTAAATCCTTATGCTGACATTCAATACCTTATAGTCTCTGGCTGATAGTTTCCTTGGCAACTTGCCCAGCATATGGCACGTGGCAGGTCCTTTCAGTGCCTGAAACCCACTAATTCTAACCTAATCCCCTCGACTCCTGCCCCACTAGACTGCCGGACACCTGGGAAAAGAAACATTTCATTACAGATTACTAACACTTGAACTCATAAGCTCTGAACCCCCTCCCCAATGAATGTTTCCTTGTGTTTTCCCTTGTCTTTCTCTTCCTATATCTTCCCTAAATGTTTTTCTTCTACTCACTTTGTTCCTACACCGATTCCTGTACAGTTGTTTCCATTTGTCCTTATTTCCTTCCACTCCAACAACATCCATTGGCACCTCCTACTCTATGGTATCTACTTGGGAGTCTTGAAACACCTGCCAATTTCACTGTCAGCCTCGTCCGGATAAGCTTGTTGCTCATGGCCGGGGCTGGCGGGGTAGCCCCGCCCGGCACAGCCAGCCCGAGCCCGGCATCCTCCGCAGCCAGGTCAAGAGGGATCTCTCAGCCTGCAGTGAATTTCTTAGCAGCTCCACCACCACACCGCTCTGCTAATGAACACTTTGGTATTTTCTCTTTGTCTAATAAACTCACATTTCTTTTTCTGTAACAAAATCCCAAAACTTCTGTCACCCTCTCTATCCCTTCAGTTAAATTTCCACCCCCTTCTTTCTCCTCGATCACACCTCCCATATACACAGTAACTCACGCCCATAGCTTATCCTGTGCTACATCTTCACTTCTCTTTCTCCAGCAACACTATTCCCAAGGGCATCAGCGAACACTTCTGTCCCCCTCTTTGCCTGCCCACACCTACTTCTATCCCACAGTTGTATAGCCGTCCCAATTTTTTCTAAGTTTATGGAGATACACCTATAAATTATAGTGCAGTAGATGGAAGTCAGATGAATACTGGGCTACATCTTGTTCCTCACATCGCAAGGCGAATTCTTAAAGAATTAAAATACCCAGATTTACCAGTTTAAAAAAAAAATGACACCTGGATTTACCTTGTTTTTCACTGATTGGAAGAATACAATTTTTTAAACCACCTGCTCCCCAATGGTTATTTCTGCTACCAACAATAACAGAACAAATCCCTCTTGGCTAAATCTTATGTATTCATTCATATCATGATGTCTGTTGGCTATTTTATTAGATTGCTAGATCATAATACACGCACATCTAAAATGTCAACAGCCTGACAAATAGTTCTCTTAAAAAATGGTGTATCAGGCCCTCCCTGGTGGCGCAGCGGGTTAAAGCACTGCGCTAAGAAGCTAAAGCCACTTCCGCATGAGTTCCATCCCCGCCTGCCCGGGAGGTGGCCACATGGCACGGCAGACCTCTCCTGACCCGCCCGCTGCTCCCCTCAGCAGTGTACTTTGTAGATCTGCCTGTTCTGCTTCCTGCTCTGTCTCTGGTGAAGCCTCTCACCCTCCGCATCTCTGGCCTGTACCCCAGTTCTGTACAAATAAATAAATAAATCTTTAAAAAAAAAATGGTGTATCAACTTAAACTCCTAGTGAGAAGGATTATCTAACTATCCATTTTTCTTTGATGGTGGGTATTAAAATAGTTTTTAATTTTTGCTAGTCTAATGGGCAAGTCCCATTTCATTATTGCTTTAAAAAAATCAAAATTTAAATTAGCATTTTAATCTAATTATGAGTCATTTTATATCTCTTCCTCAGAACAAAATATGCCTACCCTTTTATGGTTACTTTGATTAACAGAAATCTTTTTACATCTAGGATAGTAACCATTTCTTTCACATGTTTTGCTTGTATTTCCTCCCAATCACTAATAGGTAGAATTCCTTCACTCCAAGTTATAAATATAGCTGTCCATGTTTTAATTTTGAAACTTTACCTTTTAACTTTTACTCCAGATGGGAGTACTTTTATTTTCACATGTGGTCTAGAATATTACTACTTTTCTTCCCAAGTGGCTACCTCCTAGACACCACTTAAGCTTTATTCTTTCCCCCACTGAGCAGAAATGCCATTTTGATCCGGTTTCTTCCCTGCTGCCTCTCATTTGCTCAAGTGGAGTTGTGGTAGAAATACTACAACCTCAAATTATTATTAGCAACAACACAAATTATAATGTAGTTTATGCATAGGAAACAAAAGCCAGAAGTACTTGATGAGTAGACAGTTGCCAAAGCTTAAATCTATGAGTTCTTAACCTTTCATTCACTAGCTTACTGCTACCATCAATATTCAGGTTCAGGTTAAAAAGCAAAAAATCTAACTTTGCTCTCATATTGGGAAACAAATGAGAGCTGATAGACCTGTCCATTTACTGTCAGTGTCCACCACCCTTTATGGGATGCTGGTGCTTTCATGGGGACCTTAATGGACAGGAAAACAAAGTGCTCACAGGGGATTGAACAGGCGGACTTGAGCAGCAGAGAAAGTGTGTCCATCATCTAGGCTACTGGCTCATCACGGGAAGGGCCCGTCTTCCCTTGTTATCAGCAGCAGAGTAAACAGGTCATGAGACAGATCTGGCTCAATGAGGAGCCTGCGACAGCAACATCAGCAACAGGGTATGTTCCTCGAGCCCCCTGGACCTTAACAGACCGTAAGAACCACCAGAGAATCCATGCTATTAGCCCCTGCAGGCACCA